ATGTTCCTAAATTTGTCCCAATAATATTGGTGATCCTAAAATAAACAATATAATCATATTTTGGTGTCTTTGAGGTATGAAAAATGTTATTTAGACTTAAAATATTGATTTTATTTCTTGACTTGATCAACCACAATCATTGAATAAATAATAGATCCCAAGAAATATTGGATCTTACAGTTAAATAAATCATAGTCCTGTTCAATAATTGCAATATTTTGGATTTTGGATTTTTATTTAAAAAATATATTCGATAATCGCAACATTTTGGATTCGTATCTATATGGCAAACTTTAAATATGCATATAAGATTCCATTTTGTCTAGTTGTTGAGTTCTAATTAAACGGTTATACCATATAATAATATTGACTTGATGAAATTATTACGCTCAATATTTAGTCGGGATATCGAGGTTTGAATGCAAAACTATCTAATACGGATTTACCAAACTACACCTTGAAGTCACGTGCTGATATGACAGTGTAATCTAGGTCCTCCCATTGAACTACAATAATCTGCAAGATTACTAAAAGCAGCTTTTTTATTCTGGTGATCTCTCAATACTTGAAAGTTACCTTTGACCCAGATATCATTTGACCGTGATTAGTTCCACGTTGACACACACACTTATATATACACACCAGAAGTTGAGAGCAGATTACACCTACATTAATCTTCAAACAGTTATAAATCCGGTTAGAGGCGACAATTCTTAGCAAAATCCGTCAACCCGACAAAAAATGGGTATAGAATCACCAGATATGACTTCATGTATAACTTGTATAAAGTATAGTTGCATTCACCTACAAGATCCGCTTGATAAATAGATTGTGTTAAGTGATTTGAGTTAAATTTTACATGACACAACTTAGCTCAGATAAGACTGATAGATTAGTATACTAAAATTTTATTTTTTATAGTAAAACTCGTTTTATTAATTACTAAATGTTTGTTCTTTCTATTTTATTGAGAATCTATATGGGCAAAATATTTGAATTATATATATGATATACATGTGTGTCTTATATTTTACATTGTAGATTATCTGGTGTATAGAGTTCGACTCATGCGCAGAAGACCAAATAATCAGATCCTTGTATAATATGAGTATATATTCACAACCGTAGATGTAATTGGACACGTCATCAGTATGATTATAGTATAATATTCTGGCATAGTCTGTCTTGATTATAAGAGATTTTTTGATGTCTCGAATTATTGTCCTAGTACACTTTGTGTATTGAACAAACACATGTTGAGATTATTATCTTTTACTAATTTAATAAGATAATAAATACTTCAAGATTATTATGATTGCTTATTTTTTTAATCCCTAAATATTTAATTACCACGTGCATATAATGTTTGTCACTTTAATTCATCAAAGAGTGAGATTCATATTGAGTCAATAAGTTGAATTGGGAGACGATGTTATTTGTATGGTGAAAATTAAATATTAAAGGAAACCACATCCTAGTATTTAAATAAGTTGATAATGTCCCCTTGAGGAAACTCATAAGTTTTATCCATGTCAAATCTTACAAGTAGATTTAATTATCCGACATGACAAATAAGTTGAATAATAAGGTCTTAAGGAATAAAAAAAGCCAATTAAATATAATTGTCAGTGATTTATTTAATTGATGGACATCTGTAATCTTAAACGTAAAGAAATTATTAAGTATATAATAATAAGGAATTTGAATATAGTTTTGAGATAAGACTAGAAGATCAATAAAAAGTCTGTAGTGGACTGATTAATTATTAATGAGATATAAGATGTTTATACTGGGTTGAACTTAGAAATCTTAAGTCCATTGGGAGTCCGGTCCTTATTTCTCCTTATAGGCTCTGTCGTAGCCTATATATAGACGTTTAAATTCTCTATTTCAGCATTTTATCATTACTCACGTTTTTTAGGAAAGCTGAAAGAGAAAGCAAAGATTTAGAGGTATTGGCAGCCCACATTGCATCAAAATTTTGACGTTGGGGGATATACGACAAAAGACCGCGAGGTTCGTCGAGCTGTAGTCATTGTTCTGTTCTGCATTCATGCTGAGACGAGATTCGTCCCGAGAGATCTCGAAAGTAAACCCTAATTCTGCCTTATAGAGTTTTAAAAGAAAATTTTTGATATTCGATACATACGCGCTGTCAACGACTCTTAAGATTTTTGTTCCAACAAGGACATGAATTTAATTAAATACAATAATTTTTAACAAAATTTGTCAGCTCGATAAGAGATTAACGGAAAATCATGATATGATTTAACTCTTTACGATTTTGAGTTGTGATTAGGTTGACTTACCTTATACTAGCTTCATATATGAATTGTGCATGGGTTGAATAAATATTTAGACGCCCAACGCCCACCATTGCCTCAAATAACCCAAATAAAGAGAAAGATTACCTAAATCCAAGAAATGATTACTGTTATCATAAATGGGTTAAGCAACCATCTATTTTAAAGGTTAAAGTTATTGGAGAAAGTAAAATTTAAATATTTATACTTCAACATACTCTTTCAACATACCCTTTCACGTGTAACTAGATTTTTGGCCAAACACAAGAAAATCATTTTAACAATTAGGGTGATAGTGAAATTAGAACACAAGATTTCCTACTCTAATATCATGTTAAACAATTATCTACCACAAAAACTTAAAGAATTGGAAAGGGTGTAATACTTCAACAAGATGAACCTTGTACTATAAAACAGCCAACTGAGTACCAAGTCTCATAAATGGTCTACCGTATAACTTTCTTTTTTGGCCCTTATAAAAAGGTTAAGGTTGAACTGCACAAGCACCACTACCATTAGCATTGAGGCATGATGAGTACTTCCACCACCTCTTTAGCATTTCTTGTTCTAGCGTTTTGCCTAATTTTCCGACCAACGTTGGCTCAACCGATCGACCAAACATACGAGGTTCATGTCGGCAATGGCTTCAAAACCAACAGGAACCCATTGATCATTCGTTGCCAATCCAAAGACGACAATCTCGGAGTGCATAAACTTTATATGGACCAAGAATTCTATTGGCATTTCCATATCAATTTTTGGCACACCACTCTATTCCTTTGCAGTTTTAAATGGGGCCAAAAAATGAAAAGCTTCTCTGTTTTTACGACCGATGAAGAAGGCTGGGACTGCCTACCAGGTGCAAAGTGCTATTGGAAAGTGGCAGAAGATGGTTTCTTCTTCGGTGGCAGTAATAACACACACTACACAAAAAGTTTTCCTTGGTAAGACAATGAGAGTCATGCTCTTTGCAGAGTTTGTGGCTGATAAATTTGAACAAGTCACAATTATAGAATATGTTTCCATTAATAAATATACTTGATAATGAATTGAAAGGGTCTAGTCACTGGAGAACAATATATTTCACAACATTTAAGTGCATTAAATTTATTTGTTGTTAATTATTGCCTAATTCTATAAAATCTTTTCTCTATCTGTAAAATTAATTAGGTCCATTGATTATGGGTCAAAACATGCCTAAAGGCTCCCTAAGGTATACTCTAAAGAGAATTACTCAGGTTCAAACCTTAAGCTCAGAGCGATCCTGCGCCATCATAGAGGGACTGCTGTAAGACTTTGTAGGTAGGAGGGAGGTGTTTTGCCCCTTTGCTACAATAAATAAGGCTTTCCCCTAAGAAAATAATTCACTTTTTATTACATTCATGAAGTCAAAAACATAGTCCAACAGACGTCCTGTTCAATAGGAACAAAAATGTTCACTTTTCATTGCATTAAAGAAGACAAAAATATCACTTGACAAGGTGTTAAAGAAGTTGTGCATGGCAACTACTGTTTATATAATAGGGAAGGAAAGGAATAGAAGGCTCCATACAAACCAGTTTAGAGATTGTAGAAGTCTCGTGAAGTGTATCATGCAAATCATTAAAGATAGGTTAGTCCCACTCAAATTCAAGAGTTCCCCCAAAACTTGTCACTCCTCCAAGCTTGGCAGCTACCTAGTAGTGGCTTAAGTTCTAATGATAATGAGCAAGAGATGCTCTGAGAATGAGGATGAGGCTGGTCAGATTAGGTGCTGATTCAAGTGCTGGGTGCACTCTAGGGGAAGTTTAATTTGTCTGTGTTTATATGTTTGAAAATCAGCTTGTATTTTACTTGACTTTTCTGAAGGTGAGACCTCAGAGATGAGATTCACCTTTGAGAACATCAAGGCCTTTTTCCTGGATCCTTCTGGAAGTCCTTTATTCTTTTTTCACTTCTCCTTGAATGCTGCCTGCCTTCTCTGTTTTGGGGTATACAACCTACGAGCATGAAAGGAGCTACTGGCTTAATCATCCAATAGTTTCTCCCACTCCTAAAAGAAGCTGGAGGACGGTGAATGGCAGAAAATTAAGCTGGCTTTGTGCTTTCCATTCGACTGTGGACATTGCCAGTGAATTTGTAATGACACTATAGTAATTGACTACTTGTGGTGTTGACTACTCTGCATTTCTCTGTTTTTGTATGTGCAGACCCATGTTCATGTAAGCCTTTTTGGTTTCTTTGTCTCCTATTGAGTCTGGATTCTACTGTAAGTACCAGCTCAAGGCTGGCATTTCCTTTAGAATTTTAGACTCTTGGTTTTGTTGACTAATCTTTTGGTTATACTTTTGTAATGGTTGGATGTATTCTGTCATGTGAGCATCACCCTTTGTTTTGATCCTGTATTTTTTTCCTTCTTCCTTTATGAATATAATTTACCTTCCGTAAAAATATAATCCATCAAATGCTCCTGTTAAATAGTGACAACGAAGAAGTAATCTGCAAAATTCAATAGTCACAAAACGAACAAGTAATCTGCTTTATTCATTAACCCCAGAAAAATAAAATAGAAATAGAGGGTAATTAGGAAATATCACATGAGACATGAACAGTGGATCCAACTGGAAAATGTAGAGTAACATCAACTGAGAATTGAATAGTCTTTAGTTTATACTAAGACAGTCATTTCCATATTTTCCGGGTTTTTAAGCTGCAGACCGAGAAAATGTGTGCAAATCCAAGTGCAGTGACCATGGTCCATCCATTCATTTCCCATTCTGGGTTAATAAACCTATCCACCACCCACATTGCTGCCGCTATCACTGAACAAGGAAGCTCAAGAACAGTGTAGTGGTTCTCAAAGTCACAGGATAGCTCAAACCCTGGACAGCCGCAGCGATGTGGATGGTGGTTAGGTTTATTAACCCAGAATGCGAATGAATGGATGGACCATGGTGAATGTACTTGGATTTGCTTTCATCTTCTCGCCTGCAGCTTCAAGGCCCGCTGCAAGGCACCCTAACCCTAAGAACTCTAAGAATATTTGAAAAAGGAAGAGAAAGCTGGCCATATCTGTTGATTAACTAGTTAATAATCTCGGTGTTTGATGCATTGCTTTCTAGTGGATACCTTTATATAGAGAGAGTAATAAACTTAAATGAACTCAAAATTTCAACATGTGATGGGCACCTAAAAGTTTCTTCCGAATGTAGTTGGACGAGTTCTCCACCAGTCAGTCACCAAGAAGCAACAAGGTCCTGCCTTGAGTACAACTAAGAATTTCTTCAGAAATTTAGGTGGACATGATGCCCCCATCGACCATTGGATATGCTGGATCTGCTCAGTTGGTAGATCCATCAACATTCTCAGGAGTGTCCCAACCTTCCTTTCGTCTGGCAGATCCAAGTCCTCGTCCATCCCCTCCACCGGTGGACTATCAAAATGCTCATCCATTTCCCAAAATAAAATAAACATTCAAGTTTAGAAAGAGAAACTGCTAAGAAACAGGTGAACTTAGAGGCAGAAAGTGATCAGAAAAAGACATCAAGTAAATGAGCTCCACCCAGAAGCACTCCATTAGAGGTAATTGTTGACCATTCCGACATTAGAGTGCATAGACCAAGTAAAAAATGACTTACAGATAAGGAACTAGAAAATCAAAATTTTTAGGAAGCTCTTAATTAGTTGCGCATGCTGTGTTTGAAAAGTAGGTAGGCAGTTGGTAAGTTTCGTTTTATGCTAATTACTGGGTATATGCAATTCACTTAACATCATTGGAAGATTTCTAGGTTTATTGCTTACATTGGCTTATTGCAGTGTGTCCAATCGATGAATCCAGACTATTGCAATTTCACTTCATTTGGTTTTTATTATATTTTTTGTTAGAATAGAAGAAGGGGTGAAATAATGACCATGGGGTGTCCGTTCTTAATTCATCACTCTTCCTCTCTGCATACTCCCAAGACAGTTTTAGAACTCAACAGCTTCACATCAGACACACATACCATTCCAGCTCTCTCTCTCTCTCTCGCCATCCTTATTCCACTCTGCAACGCTTTGTGCCCCTAAACTCACCTGTTTCTTTGTAGTTTCTCTCTCTACACTTGAGCGTTTATTTTATTTTAAGGTTAATACAATTTGTGGTCCTGAGTTTTGTCAATTGATCCTCATTGTATTAATTTTATCAATTTGATCTTTAAAACATTTAATGTGTGGTGAAATTATCCTTACACAAATAACCATTTAAGTTTTTGACAATATCACGTACGTGATATCGTCTAAAACAATGATAGGTGATCACTTTTATAACATTTGAAGAGCCAAATTGATCAAAATAATACAATGAGGATCAACTGAACAAAATGTGCATACTTTAAAGACCAAAAATGTTATTAACTTCAATTAAAAACTCCAAGAAAAAAGAAAGTGAGAGGAACAACTTCTTAAGCCACCTCTCACCTCATTTGATTGCTTTATTTGTATAATATAGATTAGAGAAGCCACCCCCACCTAATTTGATTGCTATATATGTGTAATATATATTAGTTAATTCATTTGTTCAACCCTTGTTAGATCCTCAGCTATATCCCTCATGCACGACATTTTGGTATCCTCTCTGTCTCTCTAACATATCTATTAGGGATATTATAGGATGGGAAAGAATCCATCAATATCCAGGTAAATACACGATAAGATCCAAAGAGATCGATCGATATCTAGAATTATTTGGATAAATACATTAATGGTAGAGACGTGTGATTTATCTTTGTCTTGTGTAATTGTTAACCAACAAAAAGATATAACCCATAGGGTATGTTTGGATCGAGGGTTAAAGGACAATAACTTTGATAGGATAGGATAAAAAAGTGTGGGCATCATATATTCTACGTTTTATAAATAAAAAATGATTCAAAAATCCTATTCAGATTTTATCTAAACCCGATTTGAAAAGTCATGTTTAACCTATCTATATGGGTTAAATAAAACCCAAGGAGGGCCTAAGATTTTTTTTTTTTTTTGCCAGACAAGATAATTAATGCAAATGACCGAATTGTCCTGTTCTCTTCTCCCTTCTCTCTCTCCCTCTCCCTCTCCCTCCCCTTTATCTTCTATTCCAATTTTTTCATAGATCCGATTTTTTTTCAACAAATCTATTTTGTCAAAGGAAGGCACTGCGGACATACCACAAAAAGATCAAGATATCTTCTCCAACATGACAACTAATTTAAATAATAAACTAACTTTAATAAAAAAAATATCCTATTTGAACAAAGATTAATTAAAAATTAATAATAAATCAACTAATTAATGAGAGTTTGAGTTAACTCTAAATAGTCCACGTAACATATGAACACCTGTCTACAGGATATAAAGATACAATATTTTTTAAAAATTACATGTAAGAAAAAATTGTTTAAATTTGATCAATTTATGAACCATAGTGTTTGATACTTAAAATAAAGGGGTGCGGGCAAGGAAGAGCGTCTAGCGGCTACCCTGATAGGCCCTCACCGGTGGAATCATAAGGTCCCTGACCGCAATTGAATAGGTTAGAGACAAAACAGTCAATGGTATCATATTGCATCACCCTTCTCCGTGAGTCTCACATAAGTGTTTAGATCTTCAGTTCAGTCTAACCATGCCATCCAAACACACCCATAAAAATTGGGTTAGTGGATGTAGGCAGAATGTGGTGAACCATATATATCATTTGTATTCCTTTTCCTTTAATTTTGTTATCTCCAATCTCTCTTCAGTTTCAAAGCGGGTCAACCGAAGCTTAATTTGAATTTCGTTCCACCATGTCAATGTTTGACAGTTCATACCAATTGTTGAATCTTCACTTCAATAGTGTCATTCCCCTCCCTCCCCATTTCATGATCATTGTTAGCCATCTCTTACTGCCATGACAAATGTCACTCTCTAATCTATCAACCGAAAGGCCAAAACTTCACAAGCTTCATATTTTTGTACGACAGGTGAACCATGCTTAAAACAGAGAGTAAAAAGAAGAGAAACATATGTGCATATAAGCAACATAAGGTTTTGGGATGCATGGCCTCGTCCACTTGTTGTGTAGAATCCTTTCCTAAACGACCATACCAGGCCATGTAGGTGGCTGGTCAACTATAAAACAGGCCTTACCAGGTGGGGTTTCGAACTCTTTGCGGGGAGGTGGCAAAACAAATTAAAAAAAAAAAAAAGAGATAGAGAAAATCTTGGGAGAAGGGAATCAGAAAAAGAAAAAAAGAAAAAAGATTTAAAAAAAAAATTGTACCAACTTATCTTCGAGGGGTTTTCACATAGGATTTCCATCACCAATGCTACATCATTCAATGGACAAGCAACTATCCCTTGTTTCAGTTTAAGTTGGACACGTCAATTGATTTAAGTGCTCGTTAAAAAAAAAAAAATTCAATTTACCAACTTGAGGAAAGTGTTAAAGATATGACAGGATCAGAAGGAATACATTAATATTCAAGTAGGATACAATATGATCCAAAGAGATTCATCAATATCTAGATTTGTTTGAATAAGTATATATAATAATAGATATGCGTGATTTGTCTTTATGTTATGCAATTGTCACCCTATAAATAGATATAGCCCATAGGACGTTACATCCATGGATGAGGCACAATGTATCCAACCACGTTGATTGTTTGTACTTCTTTTCCTTTAAATTTGATATCTTCAATCTCTCTCCAGTTCTAAACTTCTATCGTATGTCCCAATGGTGGTCATTAAGGGTGTTCAAATTTTTAATTATTCGTAAATTCTGACCCTACCCTATTATACTCGACTTTATTGATCAGCTATCCAAAAGAATCGAATAAGTCAATAGAAGATTTTTTGGTATTTCGCAAAAAATTGGATAAGAATACGGAATACGTACAAAATTTTCGTATTCTTACTCTAACCTACCCTACCCTACCCGCATATATATAAATATATAAATAAATAAATATATATATAAATATATATATATATATATTAGTAATTGTCCGTGCCTAAAGGCACTACGTAATAAAAAAAAAAACTCAAATTAAAAGGCACACAAATTAGGAAACCGCTACAAAAATAGTATATGAAACATATTAGTGTGGATAACAAATATATTTGAACCGACCACCTATTCCACAAACAAAAATTATATAGAAAAATCTAATTGAATGCATAAATATTTTAACTTGTACAATTAGAAAAATTAGCCCACCCATAAGCACCCATTCACCTAGCAACAACAGTATAATACATTCGAATGAAAGACACCATGTGCACCTCTTTGGAAGCAAAAATTATGTCCCCATCAAATGACATTGTGGAGCAGACTTCACCGTTCATTGCTTATTATTGTCTTTCACAACCAACTCAAACTGCTACATTTCCGACCCTTCGTTATCAATCACATATCTTATTATCTTCCAAAACCAAATAAAAAAAATAAAAAAAATATTTTTACAAAATAAAAACTATTAAAATAGAATAAGCAATAGAGAAGGCCATACCCTTTAGTTTTTTTGAGCGAGGGGATTATTGGGTATTAAGCGATTGACGGGGAGGAGGTCACCGACGTGTCAGCTCGTTGCCATAGATATGTAACTGGGTTAAGATTCATGTCCCATTTCATCTAATAGATTAATCCATGAAAGATAAATAATTACCAATAGAGGTTGTAACCATAGTTAAACAACCCAAGCAAAATATAATCACAAATTACTGTCCGAACTGATGATCTCTATGAGTTCATGCAACAAAAGGGTTAATTAGAGTACATGAAAGCTAAACCAATTCAAGTACCCAAAGTGTGCACATTATTCATCGGACGGTACTGCTATGAAATGGAAGTGATTAAAAAAATGTGTAACCAAACACCATTGGACACCTCTTTCAAAATCATCACCACCACCACTTAACAGCACCTCCAACCAACATAAATAAATCAAACCTAGCATTATAAAGAACAAAAGCATCAAATCGAAACCCAAGTGTTAAAACACAAAAAGACTAAATGCATTTCAACCCAAAATAACAACTTCTACTTTTGCTACAACAGTGCCATATAAATGT